TATGACATTTATAAATGTATGAATCATATGGTGAAAAACTGACTGAAAAAAATTCTCTACTTTTTTTCTTATAAAAGTCTAAATAAAACAAAAATATTGGTGGTAATTTTTGACTGTGTAACGTTACAAACGGCAGCCCACAGCAGGAGTCAAAGCAGCCGTGATTAACCTGTGTTTTTCTGAAAATCGGATGTTTTGAGTTCACATAATTTAGTCTTTCATGGCAAGAAATCAAACTGAGTTCTAGCCCCGCCCACATCTTATGACAGAGCTCAGGTGTGCATAAGTTTGAGTCCCTGTTTAAATAATATCGTCAGTGTGAAGCAGTCCCAACGCTGCAGGAGGAGTTGGTTTAATTATGATGTGTTAAACCCTAAACTGTCAACTTTGATGTAAAACGAAGCCTCGTCTTGTGTCTCGGTCAAACCTAGATTTGCTGAAGAGGCTGAGGCCTCCTCAGGCTGAGTTTGAGTGGCACATTAACAAGAAGGCAATGATCATTAGAGGACTAATGAATTCTGCAATGTTCTCCCTCTGCCCTTCAGAAAATGTCCCAGGTGAAGCAGATTTGTAACAAATGTCAGCTGAATAAATAAAGCCGTCCTTGTCAGCATATGGCAGTCAGTGTCACGGAGCTCAAACACAGGAGAGATTTAAACGCTGCATGTTTTTATTTGCAGAGAGACGTCTGATTGGACGCCTCGCTTTGTTTGGATCTCAGTCTTTGCCTCCGGCCGTTTGATCCTCGCCTGCTCTTTCTGTCCCTCCAGAGGAAACTCTGAGGCTCATATATGTCAGTTATGCAAGAAAGGCAATAAATGAACATCTGACCGCTCTATAATTCAATTTATATTTAAAACAGTGAATTGTGTTTCGCTCTGCCTTTTCTTTGGTTTACTTTCACAGACATGTCTGGGATAACAATCATCAGTCCTGCAGGTCCAACAGAAAACTACACAGTATGAAATGTTACATATTCATGAAATGGTGTGTTTGTCTGTTAGCAAAATATCTCATGAATCACTGGACAGATTTTAACGACTTTCTCAGAAAGTAATCACTGAATGGACAACTGACCAACTCAGGAATTAATCCGACACATGACAGCTAAACAAGCTCAGCAAACACAAAACCAGTCAGTTTCACACTGAGCTGCAGTGGTGTGGTAGTAGCTGAGAGTCATCCCCAACACAAACTCTGAGCTCTCACAGGTTGTGTAAGATCGTTAACAGCAGGTCAAACGCATTCCTTCAAGCATCGGCGGTTCTGTACGTAAATGCTGAGTCAGCATTTTTATTGTTCCTGTTTTTAATCACAGTCAAACTGCTACTTCAAACTATCAAAATGTTCAGGTCAATCAAAAATACTTAAAAATATGTCACTTTATATTTACCTATCAAGTAAATCCCAGTTTAAATCTATTTAAAAGTAGTAATCTGTATAAAAAACATTATACTCTAAACTCTACATGTGCCTGCTCACTCTGTTATTCTTCTTCTTTTGTTCCTCTTAGCTAATTTTAGCTTTTAGCTTCTGTTTTGCTACATTTAGGTTTCAGCTACTGCTTTTCTTAATTTAGCTTTTAGTTATTGTTTTGCTGATTTTAGTTTTTGTTCTGTTTTAACGACTTATTTAACAGTCCTTTCTCCAACAGTTTTCATCATCAGAAAAGTTTCATTTACATTTTCTGTTTAGACTGAGTCATTTTTATAGGTTTAATTAAATACGGACGTATCGATGACAGACACGATGTTTCTAAAACAATAAAACTGCACACAGACCAGAAAACTACTCAGGTTTGTATAAACATAAGCTGAAGTAAGTTGAGTTTAAATTTAACTTTTTCTTTTTATGTTCTTGCTGCATAAAGACGTCTTTCAGTCCCATTCATCACGACGCGTCTCTTTGATGGTAATGATATCAACCAGTCTGCTGAGGAGGCTTAAAATCATCTCATTTGTCAGAACGTCAGCGACGCTGCCTCCCCAACACGTTTGTTGATCTCAGCTTCTGCTGGAGCAGAGCGACACTAAACGTAACTTTTAGTGGAATTAGAGAAGAAAACAAGCACAAATATGACGTGCTGTTTGTAAAGTTACACAGTCAAAAATTACCACCAATATTTTTATTTAGCCTTTTATAAAAAAAAGAACAAATTTAGTTTTCAAAGTCAGTTTTTCACCATATGATTCATACATTTATAAATGTCATAGTTTATAAACTAAATATTTAACTTACAAATTAAATATTTAGTTAACAAGCTAAATATTTAACATGACTTAAATAATTAGTTTTGAGTTAAATACTTAGCTAGAAACTTAAATATTTAGCTAGCTACCTAAATATTTAGGTCACAACTTAAATATTTAGCTAGAAAGTTAAATATTTAACCTAAACATTTAAGTTGCAACCTAAATATTTAGGTAGCTAGCTAAATATTTAAGTAATAAAATAATATATTGAAGTCACATGTTAAATATTTAGCTTGTTAACTAAGTTAAATATTTAGTTTATAAACTATGACATTTATAAATGTATGAATCATATGGTGAAAAACTGACTGAAAAATAAATCTGTTCTTTTTTTCTTATAAAAGGCAAAATAAAACAAAATTATTGGTGATAATTTTTGACTGAGTAACGTTACAAACGGCCCCTCATAGAAAACCACCATTAGAATCTTATAACTTTAGCAGAAGTGCCTAGTTCTTCCTGTCACAAACCTACGGTGGCTTGGATAAGAAACGTGCTGTTTAAAAGGAAAAGTCCATCTAAAGGAAAAATAAAATAAAATAAACCAAGCAAAGCAGAATAAGAACAAAACAAGACCGTAGGACAGTGTTTCCTAAGTGTTTGGCCTACATTTAAGAATGGCCGCCACAGCTAAACTGCCTTATTTTTCATAAAATCAGATATTAAAATGTTACAAGAGATTATGCATAACGTCATTATCAAGGTTTAACCAACAATCAATTTTTTTTTCCTTAACCCAAGATATTCCACTTTAGTCTAACTCTATCATCTATTTTCTTTATCCCTTCCTATTGCCAGGTTTCTGTTGGCCTGTGTGAGAGGAGGGGACACCCTGGGTCAGTCTCAAGTCCATCACAGGAACACATCACTCTCCCTCAGACCAGCGCTGGTCAGGACACGTCACAAGTCCCAGATGTCAGACAAGTTACGCAGCAGACCACACACATCAACACATTTTTCCATGTAAACTTAAACAAAGACAACATTCCAGTGGCAAAAAATTAGTATGATTCTAGTGAGGAAAGAAGTAACTGAAGTGTTGCAATGCAGGGAACTGGCAGTGTCCAGTAACTGCATTTTGTTCCTGCATTGTTAGCCGTTAGCTGCTAGCTGATAGCAAGCTGTTTTTTTACTCTGATTTTCAACAGAAAAACCACGTAAAAATGTTATTTAAAAATATAAGAGGGCATTACCTTATTACTACATTGAATTTTGGCTTGTAAACAGAAATGTAATTATTTTCCATTGTTTTCTCAGTTTTAGACAGAAAACACTTGAAGACTTCTTGTACAGCGCTGGTAGTGAAACCCAGAATGGGACCTCTGATGTTCTTTTTAAGTATAATGTTTTCATACTTTATACATGTTTTACAATATTTTGAACTAGTAATACTACTGCACTGCATGGCACGTTACAACACAGACAGTTTGAGGACAACTCAGCCACAGAATCGACTCTAAAGATGA